TTATTTTTATTTTTTTATTAATTTTATTTTATGTTCTGTTAATCACCATACATTACATCATTAGTTTTGGATGTAGTGTTCCATGATTCATTGTTTGTGCTTAACACCCAGTGCTCCATGCAGAACGTGCCCTCTTTAATACCCATCACCAGGCTAACCCATCCCCCCACCCCTCTCCCCTCTAGAACCCTCAGTTTGTTGCTCAAGAGTCCACAGTCTCTCATGGTTCGTCTCCCCCTCTGATTTCCACCCCCTTCATTTTTCCCTTCCTGCTATCTTCTTCTTCTTCTTTTTTTTTTTTTTTTATTTAATGTTTTTTTTTTTTTTAAGGGTCAGGGTTATTCATTTGTCTTGCACAATTCACAGCGCTCACCATAGCACATACCCTCCCCACTGTCTATCACCCAGCCACCCCATCCCTCCCACCACCCACCACTCCAGCAACCCTCAGTTTGTTTCCTGAGATTAAGAGTCTCTTATGGTTTGTCTCCCTCTCTGGCTTTGTCTTGTTTCATTAAAAAGGTGGTTTTATGAAAGCACGGGACAGGACCCGTGGGCAAAAAGAGCTGCACTGGGATTGGGAGGACTGACTGATTATATACTTTTTAATTAGTAGGGTTTAAGGATAGTGTGAGTCTCTAAGGAATTGGGAAGCAAGGCTTTCAGCACCTTGAGGGCTAGCTGCTACTAAGATAAGGTTCCTTGTAGTCTTTAATAAACACAAACATTAAGGCACTGAGGCGGCCACGAGTTCCTAGAGGAAGGTCACACTCTGCATGTCTCACGTATCTCTCAGTGGGCTGCAAGCTGTAAGGAGATTTAATTTAAGCTACGTTTCTCTTGCCTTTGTTTCCCTTATCAACCCTGTAAGTGGGATCTCTTGGTTTGTCGGTGTCACAGGAAGCCCTCCTCATGGATGACTGGGTGGACTCTAGCCTCTCAGTGGAGTTCTTGGGAGTTCTTCGTTCTGATGCCGATGAGAGTCACTGTCCCGTCTCCCCTGATTTGGTGCCCTTGTTGGGCCTCAGTGCAGGCCAAATCTGTACCCTGAGTGCGTGCAGAACAGTTCATGCTCCTGCATCTTACTTATGTCCTTTTAGTGTCCTCTTAGTAGAGAAAGCAGAATTTTCTCTCTGGGGTTCCATATCACTTGTCTAGCTTGGCCCAATGTAAGATCTTTGTTGTACCATAGACGAATGCTTGGAGACATGGAAGGTCGTTGGAGGTGTTCGGCCCAGGGGTTCCTGTGCTTTGTGATAAGAAGGAGCAGACACAGTGGCAGGGCTCTTGTTGGTGCATATTCACCTTGTTTTGTGAGTGAATGCATGGCTTAGAAGTAAATGATGAAACAAACTGAGGGTTGCTGGAGTGGTGGGGGATGGGAGGGATGGGGTGGCTGGGTGATAGACATTGGGGAGGGTATGTGCTATGGTGAGCGCTGTGAATTGTGTAAGACTCATGAATCACAGACCTGTACCTCTGAAACAAATAATAAATTATATGTTAAAAAAGAAGAAGAAGATAGCAGGAAGAGACGAATGAAGGGGGAAAATCAGAGGGGGAAACGAACCATGAAAGACTGTGGACTCTGAGAAACAAACTGAGGGTTCTAGAGGGGAGGGGGTGGAGGGATGGGTTAGCCCGGTGATGGGTATTAAAGAGGCCACGTACTGCATGGAGCACTGGGTGTTATACACAAACAATGAATCATGGAGCACTACATCAGAAACTAATGATGTAATGTATGGTGATTAACATAATAATGAAAAAAAAGTAAATGATGAGAAGAGATTTTGTGACAGTAGTGACTCCACTAATCTCTGTTCTTTTATTTCATTTTTCTATTCGTTTTCTATTTTATTTCATTTTTCTATTCTATTTCTATTCTATTATCAGAATTTGCTTTAGAGATATTGTTTAGTGTCTGTGAGGTACTTGTGACTAGAATAGCCTGTTTCTTCTTGATGAAAAGCTGAGAAGTTTGAATCTTATATACTTAATAATTCCAGCTCTTGTTTCTTAAATTTTATAACAGCCTTATTAAGATACAATTCACATACCATACAGTGTACCCATTTGATATGTACAGTTCAGTGGTTTTTAGGATGTTCAGAGTTTAGTCAGTCTTAGACCATTTTCATCGCTCCAAAAGGAAATGCCATATCCATTGACATTTACTCTCCGTTTCTATCCAATCTCTCCAGCCCCTGGCACCACTCATCTACTTTCTATCTCTATGGATTTGCCTATGACACATTTCATTTGAAAGGGATCATATAATAAGTGGTTTCTTTCATTTAGCATGATGGTTTCAAGGTTTACCCGTGTCTTTTGGTTTTTCATTACTGTCTGGGATGGTACAGAATTCTCTTTATGGTCTATCTCCCACCTCTGGAATAGAAGAATGGTTTATAGACAGATAGGTTGCAGACCAGCAACAACAGAGTACTCCAAAACATAGGTTGTCCCAAGGCTTCAGATGTGCCTCCATTGCAGTTACTTAAGGTAGATGGTTTTTGATCTCTGTATTAGTTATTAGCTGCAGAAGAAATTAACCCCAAACTTGGTAGTTTAAAGCACCATTTATTACCCCGCAGTGTCTGTGGGTCAGGACTCAGATCCAGCTGAGCTGGATCCCCCAGTGCTGAGGTCAGGTGGCTACAGTCCTCTCTAGGCTGGACTGGAAAGGATCTGCCCCAGCTTGCTCATGTGGTCGTGGCATGATTCAGTTCTCTGCAGGCCTCACTTACTTCCTTGGGAGCTGTTGGCAGGAAGCATCTCTAGGTTCCTTCCCAAGTGGGCAGCTGTAGAGAGGAAGTCTCCACATGTTAGCTGGCTGCATCAGAGTGAACAAGCAAATGGGCAAGAGAGGGGGCTGGCGGGGGTGGGGGGAGGGGAAGACATGGTCTCTCAGAACTGGATCACAAGAGTGACACTTGGTGTTAGAAGCATGTTACCAGATCCACCACACAATAAGGGGATGGGATTATACAGGACGTGAATCACAAGAGTCCGGAGTCATCGGGGGCCACTCAGTTCATGTGAGAGAAATGGATTGTCGATTACCTTGGTTTTGGAAGTACTGTGGGGAAAAAAAAACACACACATATCTGAAGTGCCGTTAGGAATATGGTAAAATTCCCTGGTGTAGATGCACTAATAATTTGTTTGCTATTCACTTGTAAAACTTTTCTACTAAATTGGTAGGTGTTTTCTCCCCCTGAGATGGCATGATGGCATTCAGCTTCATTACCCTCATTTTTGTCTTCCTGCCTTTCGATTCCGGAATTCTTCTTTCTTTGTCCCCCGCTCACCTCACCTCCCATCCTTGGTCTCTAAATATTTGCTGTTTTTTTTCTTTTTCTTTCAATTCGCTGTCATGGAACCCTGCTATGCCTGTTTAGTTCTATAGGTCTTACTTTTGAAATTTGTGCCTTTTTAGATTTTTATTTCACTGTGACTCTTCTCTACTTCCTTGCCAATTTTTTTTTTTTTTTTTTGGTACTGAACTAGTTTGAGCTGTATCTGCTGTTCTTGTACACAGAACAGGTTGGTAAGTTGAAATCATGTCCTTTATTCCTAAAGCCTTAAAGAAAATGCCCATAAAATATTTCAAACATGCAGAAAGTACAGAGAATAGTGCAGTAACAATGGAACACTCATGGACCCTCCACTTGGATTTATAAAGTCTTAGCATTTCATTTGTTTCTTTCCCTCAGATTTTTAAAGAGCTTATTTATTCACAATTCATTTATCCATTCAAAATGCGGTGTTGATGGATATTTTGATTATTTGCATATCTTCACTATTGTGAACACTGTTACAATGAATGTTTCCTGTCCTCCTTCCCTTGTACAAGAGTTTTTCTAGCCATAGATATTTTGAAAATAAACTTCTGGGTGATTGATAAGCAAAAACAATACGTGATAAACACTTTTGTAAGATGTTGACAGTGAAATGTTGCAGCCATTTTTAATAACACGTGAAATAGGGAAAAATGCTTTTTGTGACGGCCACTTAGATGGGAAAATGTTAACTCACGCTGCCTTGCATCTTTGGATGAATACTAGTATAGCATTTTTATTTCAGAATGGGAATTTGTATGACTCTAAGGAAACTGATGGGATATTGGAATTAGTAGCAAAAAGTGCCTTCGTGTGATAACTTAAGAAAATGTCCATTACATGTTTTTCTTGTTTTACTCTGATATTATTTATTCCTACCTAGGGGTAATCAGCCAGACCCATATTCATTATTCTTTATGTCTTACTAATCTCTAGGCGGGAGTTTTTTTTTTTTTTTTTTAAAGTAGGGAAAATAGCACTGTGGACTCTAAACGTATGCATCACCCCGGTTCCACACAGTTGACTTGCTTTTGAACACGATTTTCAACTGCGATGCTAACATTAGTTTTATATTTAGAACATACCATATTCAGGATAACAGAGTATTAACACTCATTTGGAGAATTATTTCAGCATTCCCATGAGGTAAGTGGCAGTTGTTGACCTGTGGGTGGATTGTGGAGTTTCTTCTCCATTAGTCGATCAGGCTAATGTTCTAAATGGCCAGTCTTCTCTCCAACAGGGAGAATGTCCATAAATTTTGTAAAAATGTGACCTAAGCCCTTCAAAAGGCTTTGATAGATGTAGTTAAGGAACAATTCCAAACACTTAGAGGACCTTTTTTTTTTTTTAATATTTTTTTATTTATTTGACAGCGAGAGAGGGAACACAAGCAGGGGTAGCGGGAGAGGGAGAAGTAGGCTTCCTGCAGAGCAGGGAGCCCGATGTGGGACTCGATCCCAGGACCCTAAGCCAAAGGCAGACACTTAACGACTGAGCCACCCAGGCACCCTAGAGGACTGTTTTTAAAAGGAAGTATAGGGACCAGCTAGTAATATCTTCTGGTACTGTGACATTGATGGGTCTATAGGTCCAGAAACTATGACTAACTATTTGAACCTCACGTCATGGGTTTCTTATATGCTTGGATTCCAGATTGCGGTGGTCATGGGCTCTTGTACGGCAGGTGGTGCTTATGTGCCTGCAATGGCTGATGAAAACATCATTGTACGCAAGCAGGGTACCATTTTCTTGGCAGGACCCCCATTGGTAAGAACATAGTCTTGATTGATTGATTGAAGTAAAATATACATAATATAAAATTTATCATTCTAACCATTTTTTTCAAAGATTTATTTATTTATTTTAGAGAGCACGAGCAGGGGGAGAGGCAGAGGGAGAGAATCCTCAAGCGGACTCCAGCTGAGTGCAGAGCCTGATGTGGGGCTTGGTCTCACCACCCTGAGATCATGACTTGAGCCGAAACCAAGAGTCAGATGCTTGAGCCACCCAGGCGCTCCCATTCTAACCATTTTTAAGTGCGTAGTTCTGTGGCATTAAATATATTCACATTATTGTGCAACTGTCACCACCAACCATCTCCAGGACTTTCTCATCTGCTCCAACTGAAAATCTGTACCCATTAAACATTAACTTCCTATTCTCCCTGACCTCCACTGCTCCTGGCTACCATGATTCTCCTTTTTCTATGAAGTTGACTACTGTAGGTGCGTTGTATAAGTGGAATCATACAGTATCTATCCTTTTGTGATTGGCATATTTCACTTAGGATGATGTCCTCAAGATTCACCATGTTGTTGGCGTATGTCAGAACTTCTTTTAAAGGCTGAATAATATTCCATTGCATGTTCGTATCACATTTTGTTTATTAACTCATCCATCAGTGGACGTTTGAGTTGCTTCTAGTTTGGGGCTATTATGAATGATGCTGCTGTTAATATGAGTATACGGATATATCTGTTTGAGTCCCTGCTTTCATTTCTTTTGGGCATATGGTCGAACATAGAATTGCTGGATCATGTGATAATTATGTGTTCAATTTTTTGAGAAACCACTTTATTTCTTTTTATTGCTGAATAATATTTCATTGTATGGATAGGCAGCATTTTGTTTATCCATTTATCAGCTCATAGTCATTTGGGTTGTTTCCAGTGTTTGGATATTACGAATACTGCTGCTATGTGCCTTCATATCCAAGTTTTTATATAAACCTTTACAAGGCTTATATGTAGGTTTATATATATATATAGTAAACCATATTATATAAACCTTTATAAGGTTTATAGACCTGTGAGTACAATTGCTGGGTCACATGGCAATGCTAAGTTTCACATTTTGAGGACCTGCCAAACTGCCCACAGCATATTTTACATTCCTGCCAGCTATGTGTGAGGGTTCTGATTTTCCTATTTCCTTGCTGACAGTTGTTATTGAGCATCTGTATGATGATATCCATCCTAGTGGATGGTACCTCATTCAGGTTTTGACTCGCATTTCCCTAATGGCTGATGATGCTGAGCGTCTTCCATGTGCTGGTTGGTCATTTGTGTATCTTCTTTGAAGAGATCTCTATTCAGATCCTTTTGCCCACTTTTTAAATTGGGCTTTTTGTCTTTATTGAGTTGTGAGACTTCTTTATATGTTCTGGATACAAATATTTTCTTTCTATGGATTGTCTTCACTTTCTTGGTGGTATCTTCCTCTGAAGCATGGAAATGTTTGATTTTGATAAAGGTCCGTTTATGCATTTTTTTTCTCTCTTTGCTGTGCTTTTGGTGTCATATCTGTGAAGGCTTTGCCTGTTGCAGGATCATGAAGATTTAATACTTGGGTTTCTTCTAAGTTTTGTAGTTTGAGCTCTTACTTATAGGTTCGTAATCCATTTTGAGTTAGTTTGGGTAGGATTTATTTATTTATTTTTTAAACTTTTTATTTATTTATTCATGAGAGATGGAGAGAGAGAGACAGAGGCAGAGGGAGAAGCAGGCTCCCAAGGAGCAGGGAGCCCGATGCGGGACTCGATCCCAGGACCCCGGGATCATGACCTGAGCCGAAGGCAGACGCTTTAACCATCTGAGCCACCCAGGTGCCCAGTTTGGGTAGGATTTAAAGAAGGAATCCCACATCGTTTTGTATGTGATATGTAGTTGGCCCAGCATCATTTGTTGAATGGCTGATGAAATAAACTTCTACTTATTTTTTCTTCTACCTCAGTTGCATTCTTGTTTGTCTCAGTGTCACTAGAAGTTGATAAACAAGGTGCTTGCACATAATATGTCAACTTTTGTGTAAAACAGGGCACATTATACATTTGTAAGCTTGTGTATGCATAAAGAAACTCTGGGAAAGGTACAGTAAACAGAGTTTTAATGCAGAGGAGATGAAACAGGGCAAGAGAGAGACCTTTGACTTGTGTGTGTGTGTGCTGAACATAAACGTTTTGAGACCTTTGACTTTGTGAGTCTTGTGAAAACATTACCTTTTCAAAAAGGTTAAGTTAAAAAAAAAAGGAACCAAGTTAGAATAGAATATTTATGAGAGGTGCTCTAAATTTCTAATCCTAGCATCGTTATGAATCACTGGTAGGGCCAGCTACATAATTGCAAACCCCAGTGCAAACTGAAGATACGAGACCCCTTGTTCAAAAAGGAGGAACAAGTACTATTAAAGGTACTAAAATATAAAACCTTTTCCTTCTGTGGTACCTTAAACTGTCTTAGTGTTTTTTATTTGCTAAATATTTAAGGGCATGTTCCTTCAAGCATCGAATACTCCCCTTCTCAGGCATCTGTGCTTCCAGTGGGCCCACTCTTCAACTCCTGGTGGACATAATGACCCTCTAGGGGTATGCAGCCTCCATGCCAGGATGTGCTTGGTATCCGGATGGATGAGGAGCGAAAAGCAATCCTTTAGCCCCCACCTCCACTGCGTCATCTGCTGCTGAATACACCTCAGCACCGCCAGCCCATGATAGTGATGGTGCTGCTGTGCTCCACCCTGAGACACCAGGGGGTGCATGCCTGAGCCCTGACCTTCCCTTTGCCCATGTCAGGCCCCCAGTGGGGACAGGTGTGATAGTCCCTAGGCAGGAGTGGGGAGGAACAGATAGGGCAGAGCCCAGGGCCTATGTACCAGTTAGCAGGGAAGTAGGGAGCCAAGAACCCTTTCCAGAAAGATGGTGGGAGGCAGACCAGCTAAGAACTGAGGCTCTGGACCCTGACACACATGCCCCATTGTCCCATCAGACTTCATTTACAGAACATATATTCAAAGATAAAATTAGAATTTCAGTAGGGTAACCACTGAGCATCAAACTCCAAGCACAGGACCCTTCTGAGAGTGGGACCCTGTGCACCCTCACTGGTGAGTTGCCTGTGTTGCAGGACTGAGGAGTGGATTATGTAATCCAGGCTCTTCCCATCTCTTTGCTCAGCTCCATTCCAGTGATGTTCAGTAGTGCACCCTTCACTCTGCTATGCGTGTGTCACAGTCTGGGCCCAGGCTTCAAAAGGATAAAGAGAGCGTAGGGGAAGACACAGGTAATGACTACATCTTAACAACAAAATATCCCATTATTTAAGTGAAATCTGAGAATATTATCTAGGTAAGGAGAATGTCAACAATACTATAAAACTGTAATATACATCCAGTGGAATATGATTCAGCCATAAAAAAGAATGAAGTTCTGACACGTGCTACAACATGGATGGAACCTGAAAACATTATGTCACAAAAGGAAAAATACTGTATAATTCTGCTTCTATGAAATATTTAGAATAAACAAATTCCTAGAGGCAGCAAGTAGATTAGTGGTTGCCAGGGACCAAGAGGAAGGTAGAATGGGGAATGACTGTAATGAGTATGGGCTTCCTTTTGGGAATGATGAAACTTCTGGAATTAGGTGGTGTTGATCGTTCCACAACTGTGTGAATATACTGAAAAACACTGAATTGTATTCTTTAAATGTGAATTTTATGGTATGTGAATTCTATCTCAAAACGTAAGGTTATTGCTTCAAAAGTCTGTCAAAAAAATCATCTTTGGTTTTGGAATAATAACACGAATTTATTAAAAAGACTACGTTAAAAAGAGCTTATTCTTGCTTTGATGTGAAATATGTGTATTTTGCAAATGATTGTGTTTATTTTTAATAAATTTTATTGAAGATCAGGTAAGCCTGAAGAGCCTGCACTTGAAATGCGATCAAAGTCTGAAGGCATTATTCAAAAGGCTTGTGTTGTCAATTATTCTTTGGCACTTATTTCTAGATATAAGTGATACTTATCATTGGTAAATGAGAGGAGAATTCATTTAGAATTTATCTCTGTCAAGTGAAGGGTAGAAACTTTCAGTAGTTTGTAGGTGTTTTTCCTTAAAGAATGAGTAAAGATAGGACTAAAATTTGAAAACACCTTTTTGGAACTGTAGGCAGAATCATAATACTGACATAACACTAGCTGTTTCCAAGAGACGAGTTTGTCTGAAGGGTGCAGTTGCAAAATGTCCAGTTGTTGGTGTGGATTTACCTTGTACCTCAGCAAGGAGCAATTTAGCAGCTGAAGTCGACAGTGCTGTTAGAGAACTGAACTTTGTTGTCTACCACTGAAAGACCATATTTACAGGTTAAAAAAAAAAAAGGAAGCAGCAGCAGTCTCATCTGCTTGAAGGTTCTAAATTTTGACCCTTGTTTTACTGAAAATTGAAAAAAGGTTCCATGTATAATGTGCAGTTGAGTTGCTATAGCTTTCAGTTGCTTAAAGTGGTTGGAAAAATGCCTAATAGTAAGACAGGTTTTTGAAGGAGCTTTTTGTTCTTCTGTCTTCTGAACTTGGTATTTGGTAGAATGAGCTGTTTTTAATTTTTATCATCCTTGCACCTGTCACAGTATCAACCATGTTGTGGGTGTTCAGTAAATATTAACCAATGATGAATCCTTATTTTATCAGTTGGTATTTGTCAGATCCCTGGAAATAAATACAGAGGATATCGGTTGTTTATTCCTTTTTACAACTTTAAATATCCAGACACCTCTTATAATTAGTTTTTGTCTGGACTGAATGCTATTTTACACTAAATATTTTGGGAAGAAGAGAACTAAGAATTTAATTCTGTGGGTGGAAAAATTGGAAGTGAAAATTTTAATTACTTTGTGCAGTAATATTTTGTTTAAGACAGAACTTTTGATGTAGTGAATAATAAGTTCTTTCTATGCTGCAATTTAGATAAATGTTCATTGCTCTATTTTTTTCCTATTTGAAGAAAAAGAAATCAGTCAAACCAAAGAAGTAGGAATCAGTAAGCAATTCCTAAGGGGTCAGGTTGGCATTTGGCACTAAATGATTTTTCTATTTTCTTATTAGAATTTCTCAGGCAATAGTTAAGTCATTCTTAATTTATTAACTTGAGGTTTCTTTCTTTTTGGTCATATTTGGCTGAATCTTAGATGGGTAATCTTAGAGATTTTTTTGGCCTCTTGAAGGTATTGCACTTTTAAGAGTTTGTGATAGTTACTGCAGTTTTTTGGGATAGGCCACAAAAGGCATTAATTCATTAAATTTACTGAGTGTTAAAAGACGAATACATCACAGTTGCTGCCATCAAGGCACTCCCAGTATAGAGACAAGAGAGACACATGCAGATCACTGACATGTGCAGTCTGGCAGGTGCCCTGTTGGAGGTATACAAGGAGTATTCTTGGACCACAGATGAGCAGGTGTTGTTCTAGTATTGCTCTGGAGTGTCATTAATGATGAAAAGGCCTGCGCAGGTCAGGGCAAACCACATAGAGCAGATGGGGCCTAAAGGATGAGGAGGGATTCCCCAGGTGGGTGACAGAGAGCAGGGAGCCCAGGCAGTGGGAACAGCATGTACAGAGACAAATGCTTTACTATGCAGAAGGTAGGAGAAGGAAAGCGGGCTCGCAGGCTGGAAATACCTCAGTTCAACTCAGGTTCCATTACTTGCTCAGGGGCTGTGGGGAAATTCCTTTAGTGGCTCTGGGTTCAGATTTTTCATCTGTAGACCAGAGACAGTTTTTTCTAGGTTTGCTGGATGGGTGGAATAAGAAAAAATCTTGGGACAATTGGGTGTCTCAGTTGGTTAAGTGTCTGACTCTTGATCTCAGCTCAGGTCTTGATCTCGGGGTCTTGAGTTTGAGCCCTGCATTGGGCTCCATGCTGGGTGTGAGGTCTACTTAAAAAATGAAAAAAAAAAAAAAAGAAAACAAAAATCTTTAGCTGTGTGGAAGAAAGAGTGGTAGGGATAGTCAGGTTAGAAGACGGGCATGTTAGGTAAGCGTTTTTATTTCTCTGACGGGCAGAACTCACCATTGACTTTCCTCCTTGCTGTAGGTGAAAGCCGCCACTGGAGAGGAAGTGTTGGCCGAAGATCTTGGCGGTGCTGATCTGCACTGCAGGTGAGACAGAAGCACTTGTTGCTTTCCAGGATTCATTGTCGTCTGTCTGTCTGTTGAAGAAAAAGTTTAATTATTTTTTCTAAGAGTTAGATCCAACCACAGTTGATCTGTTCTTGAGCTGCTGTTTCAGGGTTCAGTTCTTTGAACTGTAGGGTTGCATTCCTGAGCTAGAACGTCAGCTTGTTCGTTATTGCCTAGATAGACTGGAGAACAGGTTTCTCATTTCTTTAACAAACATCCATCCAGCACCTGTGGTGTGGCAGACACTGTTATAGGTATTGAAGATTATGAGATAGACATTGTCTTTGACCTCAGGGAGCGTAACATTCTAGTCAGGGAGGTGGGTGATAAGTTATTACCAAAAAATGATTTAATGTGTATGTGTGATAAGGCCTGTAAAGAAGTATAGGGAGAGCATATAGAAGGTTGATCCAACCCACTGATGTGCAGGTGTTATGACTTTGTGGGTTTTTTTTTTTTTAAGATTTTATTTTATTTTTAGAGAGAGAGAGCACGAGTGGGGAGGGGCAGAGAGAGAGAGAATCCCAAGCAGCCTGCATGCTCAGCACGGAGCCTGACTCAGGGCTTGATCTCACAACCCTGAGATCATGACCTGAGCCGAAATCAAGAAGTCAGATGTTTTACCGACTGAGCCATCCAGGCGCCCCATGACATTGTTAAATTAATATTTGTTAAGTGGAGCACAGAGCGGTGGATGGCGAGCTATGGTTCAACAACAGACCACAGGAGAAATTGAAATGGACAAGTTCATTACTCACAGAACCTGGAGGAAGTACATGGTATGCCTCGAGGGGCCATGCTGGGAGCTCAAGGCAGAGTGCAGATAGAGGCAGAGCCTGAGCACATTTTTTTCTTAGGGTCCATGATTGGAGCACTTGAGGGTTCCTAGGCTAAGGCTAGTTTAGTCAGTTCAAACCAAAAGATTGGTGTTTTGTTCAGTTCCACACTGAGTCTTATGCACGTGGGTCTTGTGCACGCGAGGCATACAGGAAGGAGCTGGGAGGCAGAGGAGACTGTTGATCACAAGGCTTGTTGGGGAAGTCCCATCAGGACTTAGGATGTGCTTGTGAGTCTGTGGCTGCTCTCTGGCGCCTGTGCTTGCCCAAGCGGGCTGGAGGCGGTTTCAGGTTCCTGCAGCCCACTCAGCCACACAAAGTTGATGCTGAGGCAGCCAGACCATGGAGTTGAGGCTTAGGTCAACGCTCAAGAGCAGCTGGTTCTCTGGGGAGGGGAAAAGTCCGGCTTTGTGGCATCTGCCAATGCCTCTGGTGTAAAGTATCCCACTGAGGCTGATGATGGTCCCAACAGGACACCAGGGAATGTGGAATCAGGAAGAGGTGTACACACTTGGCTCTTGTGAGTCAGTCCTGAGCTGGCTCCATCACGTCAATGGTCCAGGCATTTCAGGTTAGAGTTCAGGGGTAAGAAGACTGCCTACCTCCTAGAGTTTTGTGAGAATTAAATGAGAGGATACGTGTAAATTGCTTGAAACAGTACCTGCTTTAAATAAGTACCTGTAAATATTAACTGCCATTATTGTTATTGTTGTTGTTCATCATAACTGGTCATTAAAGAGTGGACTTTTTTTTTTTTAAGAGCAATTAGGAAACCATTGAAGAGTTTTAAGGAGAGAGATGCTGTTATCAAATATTTCGTTAGAAAAAGTCACTCTGGCTGCTAAACAGAACATTTAGGGGTTTGGCCTGAGTCTGCCTGAGGGTCCAGTCAGGGGGTTTTATCAGGAACAGCAGGTGAGAGATGCTGGTGGCTTAGATGGTTCTGGTGGTAGTGCAGGTAGGGGGAGTGCCCAGGTTCAAGCTCTGCTGTAGAGACAGGTTTGAAGGACTTGCTTTTGGATTTCATCCAAGGGGTTTAGAAAAGCGGGGTGACAAAGATGATGAGTGGAAAAGGTATGACTTCCTGAGACTGGGAAGATGGGAGGAGGAGGAGATCCGGGGATGGGGCAGGGGGATTGGGTGTTCCTTTTGGACCCAATAAGTTAGAGGTGCTTGAGACATCCAAGTAGTTATGCTGGCTGAGTAGGCAGGTAATTGATAAGAGTCTGCAGCCCAGATCAGTGTTGGGGAGTCATCAGCATAGAACTAGAATTTAAACCGATGGGAATAGATGAGCTAGCTCAACTCGAGGTGAGTGTAGATAAAGAGGAGGGCCCTGGACCATACCCAAGGAAGCCAGGCGTAGATGGCAAGTCGATCTACTCATTGAGCTCTGTGGCCTGGCAGGTGCATAAACCTCTCTTTGTGCTGCCAGACCTCACACCCAGGGTGGGTAGGTGGCTATGGGAGCAGTCTAGTAGGTAGGAAAGGAGAGACAGGTGTAACATTTCTACTTTCCTGTCAAACACTGCTGCGCCTTTAGAAAACTTATGTGAGGGACCCACATTTGCCTCAATTTTCCCTTCATTCCTTTCTCTCTGAGTGCTTACTGTGGGTAGATTGATGGCGCTAAGTGTTGTAACACGGAACAATTTCAGGCCTGGTTCCTGCCCTCAAGGATTAATAATTTCATTATGTAGGGACACCTGGGTGGCTCAGTTGGTTGAGCGACTGCCTTCGGCTCGGGTCATGATCCTGGAGTCCCGGGATCGAGTCCCGCATCGGGCTCCCTGCTCAGCGGGGAGTCTGCTTCTCCCTCTGACCCTCCCCTCTCTCATGTGAGCTCTCTCTCACTCATTCTCTCTCAAATAAATAAAATCTTAAAAAAAAAATTTCATTATGTAAAAAGAGAAATAAAAAGAACTAAAAACAATTACAAAATGAATATGCTAGCATGCTTCCAATTTCCAACTAGAGGTGAAGGGAGGAGTGGTTAAGGGAGTGGTGTTGAGGTTGGCGGAGAAAAGCTTAGCATGAGCCTGAGTTTCTGTGTGTGTGGAACAGAACACTTGTTTATTTACGGTGAGCACAAGCGTGTGAGTGGCCATGATCGCATTGATTGTGGCAGGGAGACCGTGGTGTGGCATGTCAGCCTGGAGAGAGGCGGATGCAGGTAGAATAAGGTGAGTGGGGTACAGGACAAAGTGGGCTGCCCCTGTTTGTGGATGATTAACAAGGAGATGAAGATAGTATCTGAGGAGCATTAATTAAAAAATTTTTTTTGCCTATTTAAAAAAAGTTATCTGATGCCCATAAAAGCTGTAGGCAGTATATACCAAGTTAGGGGTATAGGTTCTAGAATTCATCTTCTTTTTGCCTTACGTACTACCCTTGTGACTGGACAAACTAGGTAACTTCATTGAGCCTCTTGTCTTCCCATGTAAAGTGGAGATAAGAATAGTTCCCACCTCATAGCACAGTGTCTGGTACTTGGTAAGTGCCCTATGAGTTATGATTATTCATAATAACCTGTTTAAAATCATGGGACAGTGATTAGGTGGTGATGGCTTTTTTTTGAACAGTGTGATAAAATTTACTAGACACAAATTGCTTTGGGTTTCTTCGGTCTTTGTAAATATATATTTTAAACCTCTCTGATTAGCCATCCTGAGGAATTACTTTGATACAAAGTCTTCCATAATATAGTGTCTCATCAAAGGTTTCCCTTTCCTGCTGTTTTGGTAAATATTAGGCAGTTTTTAAAAGAAAGCATTTTATTTTAAATATTTACTGATTTGGAAGTAGTTCCTTCTGCTTCTCTTTGCTTTCTGAATTACTGCAGTGTAGCTAGAAGTCAGCAGTTATAGCTGGTATGATGTATGAAGCATTTAAAAGATATGGTTAGTTATAAAATATCATATTAAGTTAAAAAAACTGAAGGGTCTACCATTTGCGAAGTGTTGCGGGGCTATAGCAAGGAGTAAACACGGTCTCTATTCTCATTTAGAAATAGCCAATCCAGAGGTGGAGAGTGCCCTCAAACCACCCTGAGAACCCAGTTCTAAGAAACACCTGTTAAAGGTTTGGCACTTTCCCTAGACAAGACATCACAATTTAGATTGCAGCAGATTAGTCCTTACTCATAAAATGAATGAAAATTCTATTTTCTTCAGGTACATATTTTTGTCTGTCTTTATAGTTATTTTATTTATTTTTAAAAAATCATTTATTTATTTATTTTTACTTTTTTAAAGATTTTATTTATTTATTTGACAGAGAGACACAGCGAGAGCAGGAATACAAGCAGGGGGAGTGGTAGAGGGAGAAGCAGGCCTCCCACGGAGCGGGGAGCCCGATGCGGGGCTCAATCCCAGGACCCTGGGATCATGACCTGAGCTGAAGGCAGACGCTTAACGACTGAGCCACCCAGGCGCCCCTAAAAAATTTTTATTTTTAAGCAATCTTTACACCCATCGTGGGGCTAGAACTTACAACCCTGAGATTAAGAGTTCCACGCTCCACCGACTGAGATAGTCAAGCACCCCTACAGTTATTGATTGATTTTAGAGAGAGAGAGAGAGAGTGTGCATGCATGCGCATGCGTGCACAAAGGGGGAAGGGGCAGAGGGAGAGAGAGTCCTAAACAGACTCTGCTGAGTGTGGAGCCCATTGCAGGGCTCAATCCCATGAACACGACCTGAGCTGAAACCAAGAGTCCAAGGCTCAACCAGCTGCACCACCCAGCCAGTTTTTTTTAAATAGTATATTCTAGAATGAGTATATCTACATATGAGATAAAAAGCCATCTAATCAGAACAAAGCTAATAAACAGAGCAAGCCCATGCTTCATTCACATTGAACTTGAGATTGAGCAGGAACTTCTGTGGCCCTTATCACAGTTCTGTTTTATCAATACTAATTTTTCTCATTGATCTGAGGGACAGGGTCGTCATGACAGCTTACTCTTAAGGTGTGACTTTGTAAGGTTGGGGCCTCAGCAGTCTCCCTGCAATAGTTGGCATCTTTATTAGGAGCTCACTGAGTTACAGAAACTTCGTTGTTACGGACTACATCTGCGGTTGTTGAACTTTATCATACACAGTTTTGTTCAAAGTGCATGGGATGAGCATTAAATAGAAGTCCTCATCAGCAAGGCTCTCTGGTCCAGTAGAAGAAGGTCAAGATTGAGAAATAGAATGTGTGGATACTCATACAGCCACTGGTGGTCCTAGGGCAGGGTACTTAATTTAGGTAGACCTCAATTTTTCCTGTTTGTAAAATAAGGATAATACTGTTCTGCTAGGGACATTATGAGAATCAAGTTGGATGACATTGATTAAAGTATTTTGGAAGTAAAAATGATGTCATCCTTAGATGAGAGAAGATCTTTAGGATTTAAGCTATTTATTTTCCTTTTCCCTGTTCTGATTATTTTAGTGTGCTTTACTCTGTAGAAAGTCTGGAGTATCCGACTACTACGCTTTGGATGATCATCATGCCCTTCACCTAACTAGGATGATTGTGAGGAATTTAAATTATCAGAAGAAATTGGATGTGAGTTGGTTATGTTCTTACATCTTTTATTTTCTTCAAAAGCATTTTGGCTTATGTAACCTTGAATAATATCTTTAAATAGGTTAATATGGTTGTTTTATATTTCTGCAGGTTACTGTAGAACCTTCTGAAGATCCTTTATTTCCTGCTGATGAATTGTATGGAATAGTTGGTACTAACCTTAAGAGGCACTTTGATATTCGAGAGGTGTGTAGAGTGGGGCTGTGAGCTATAAACCATGCTGTCAGTCTCGTTGTATGTGTATCCATTTTTTAAAGTTTATTTTTTAAATTTAAATTCAATTAATATTTATTGGTTTTAGAGGTAGTGGTCAGTGATTCATCTGTCTTATGTAATACTCACTGCTCATTACATCACGTGCCCTCCTTAATGCCCATCACCCAGTTACCCCATCCCCCCACCCCCCTCCCATCCCCCCACCCCCCTCCCATCCAGCAATCTCAGTTTTGTTTCCTAGAGTTAAGAGTGTATCCATTTTTAAGGTGAAATCTGTTCAGATACCTTCCTGCCTAGAGCCTCTGGTGGATTTCAGTAGGGTGTGACTTATAAGGGAAAGATCTCTTACTAGAAGGGAGAGGGGGATAAAAACCTCTTAATGGTTGGGAAGTTTTCATTGCACAATGATGAAGCTTGCTTTGTTTATAAATAGGATTCCCTATTCCTGTGGACGTTAGGAATGATGTAGGCAACTTCATAAATTTCATCTGTTTCTTTTTAGTGCTCTTATTTTGGGAAGTGGAGGAAATGTCAGTAAGTTGTGAAAGGAAAAAACATACCCTTTTAGATCAATATGACCTTAGCAGAGATTAGACTTTTGATTACGTTCGAAGATGTTGCTATGGTTACAGATTGCTGACATGGTCTTCTTTGGTCTAGATTGATAATTTTTAGTGCTTGCATATAGCATGTAGTCTTACTTTGTTCACTATCCATATATGACAGAATACTTTTTTAAATTAAGAAATAACCTTACTGTCAGTTTCTGTGCCTTCATATTTGTTAGTTTTCCCTTTGACTATAAAACTATTGTGTGCTAATTGTGAAAAATTATAGAAAATGCAGAAAAACAGAGGATTGCTTATAATTCTGCCATCCAGAGAAAGCAGTGAATATTTTGGTGTTTTGGCTTAATGTGTGTGTGTGTGTGTGTGTGTGTGTGTGTGTGTGTGTGTGTATATATATATATATATATACATTTTTATGTAGCTGGGATCGTCTGTACATGCAAACATACACATGTATATTTTTTAAAATTCTCCAGTTTAAATTATAAACATTTCTCCAGTATTTATAAATTCTTGAAACCATTTCCATGGCTAGGTCATATTTGCTATAATAATACCTGGTGACATGGTAGGCACTCAGTAAATATATATATATATATTAAAGATTTTATTTATTTGTCAGAGAGAGCACACACGCACAGGCGGGGGGAACGGCAGGCAGAGGGAGAAGAAGCAGGCTCCCCGATCCCAGGACGCTGGGATCATGACCTGAGCTGAAGGCTTAACCGAATGTCCCTCAGTAAACATTTTTTTGAACGAGTTGATGAATGTACTATCCCACCTGTGGATGTGCACAGTTATTTATTGAGGCAATACCCTATATTGGAGGGTCTTAACATTCTGGATTTTTATGGAGCTCCAACTGGTTTTTCACTTTAGGAAGGTGACTTGGTTAACTATAAGTTATAGAATTAGGATTTTAGCTTGCCTTTTTCATTAATTACAGGCATATAAAGTTTGATACTTAACAGTCTGATATGCTTGAGAAATGAGTTGTGGATAGCCAAGTTTTCTAGATGGCTAAGAATTCATCCTGTTAAACATAACCACTTTTTTCATTTATTCAACAGTGTTTATTGAATGCTTGCTCTGTGAAGATGCTGTTTGAGGCACCAAGGGTACAGAAATGAGTGAAACAGTTGGACATCCATGCCTTCATGATAGTTTCATTTCATTTAAATGGAGGTCTTTTTATAAAGATAGACTTTTGCCTTCTTAAATAGTTTCCTGGACTTTCTACCTTTTGCTGATTCATATTCATCATTGTGATGATCATGTATTACGTTTTTCTATAATTGCAAGTAAGTCGTATATGGAGGTCTTACTAGTATATGGAGCTGGGGGACAGCACTGGAATGTTGACTGGAAAATCTGGCTTGTAGTTCTTGTTTCCCTTGTCAGTGGTACTGGGATTGGACCTCTCTGAGTATCGCTTTCCACTTCTAGAAATAGCCGTAGTACCAAATGATATGTCTGCTTCCTGAAGTGTGAGTCTTTGTGAAGATGAGTTAATGTCTTATGTGGCTGGGTGGTGGTCATTGTAAAGCAAATAGGAGATAGCTTTATACTAAGTGGCCCTAGTTTGCTGTGCTCTTTGAGGGGCTTTATTTTTGTGTGAAAAAATGGTAGTTGTTATGTGTTGATTGTGTTTTAGAAAGTACAGTTTTGGAGCTCCATAGCATTTAGAACAGATAACTTACATTCCCATTACATTATCGGACCTTTCAGGAAAATAAAAAATAATTCCAAGTACACTCTTACTTTTTGGAAAGAATGATACTGGGAAGCATTCACTCATTTTTCAGCCTTTGCATGTTACAAAACAAGGCTTTGATGTGGTAAACAGGGAAGAGGAAGTTTCGACTAAAAAGAAAAATGGTGTGTATCATCTAAAATAGTTTCTGAAGAAATTTGGAATATGTTTGGAATTCTTTGAAATAGTCTTGATGTATATGGTGAATCCCAAGGATAAACTATTTAGTAATTGCTCCTTTTAGATTAAATATGTATATATGTGGGATCAGATTCAGAATCAAGGAACCTTTATTGAAGTCTTAATAGCCACTTTTCAATGAGGGCTAGGCAGTGTGCTTTAGTTAGTACTTTTTAAGTACTATCTTTTTTTTTTTTAACTTTTTAGGTTTTGATTTAAATTCCAACTAGTTAACACACAGTACAGTATTAGTTTCAGGTATAGAATCCAGTGTTTTATCACTTCCCTACAATACCCAGCTCATCACAAATGCCCTCCTTAATCCCCGTCACCCATCTGGTCCATCCCCCCACCCATCTCCCTCCATCAACCCTCAGTTAGTTCTCTCTATTGTTAAGAGTCTCTTATGGTTTGTTTCCCTCTCTTTTTTCCCCCTCCCCCTATGTTCATCTGTTTTGTTTCTTAAGTTCCTTATTTAAGTGAAGTCATATGATATTTGTCTTTCTCTGACTAATTTACTTAGCATAATACACTGTAGCTCCATCCACATTGTTGCAAATGGCAAGATTTCATTCTTTTGGATGGCTGAATGATATTCCTGTGTGTGTGTGTGTGTGTGTGTGTGTGTGTGTGTGTGTGTGTGTGTGTATAACATCTTTATCCATTCATCAGTCGATAGACATTTGGGCTCTCTCCATTAGTTTGGCTATTGTAGATAATGCTGCTATAAACATCAGGGTGCATGTATTCCTTTGAATCAGTGTCCTTGTATCCTTGGGGTAAATACCTAGTAGTGCAACTGCTGGGTTGTAGGGTAGTTCATTTTTTTTTTTAACTTTTTGAGGAGGCTCCATACCATTCTCCGGAGTGGCTGCACCAGTTTGCATTCCCATCAGTGGTGCAAGAGGGTTTCCCTTATCTTTTTTTTTTTTTTTTTTAATCAGATGAAAAAACTGAGACTTAAGATTTTAGGTAACCAGCCTATGACTCTAGTTTCTCAGCAATAGACCTGGGAGTCATAGCTGGGTCTTCATCTCAGCATTATTTTTTTAGGTTCATCACATCCTCATAAATTTGTCCCAACTTTGCAAAAGTGAGAACTGAGACTTTATCCAGGACACGCAAATCCTGTGAGATCCCTTTGTTTGGAGGCTAAGTCTCCTGACTCTGAGCCTATCTCATGCTTTGTGATTGAATCTCTAACCCTTTGCCAATACTTTGGAGCAGTTCCTAAAGCTCTGAGTCCAGCTTCCAGCCCTCACAGTCTCTCTTCTTTTCTGGTCTATAACATAGTGCTGTGGCTCTTGCAGTGTGGTATGAAACCGGGGTCCAGAGTGACATCAGGGCCTTACCCATGCATAGAAAGTGAAATTCTACTGAGAAGACTCGCTCTGTAGGGTGAAATTCTGTGGAAGTGACAACTTAACGGTGAACTTGTTTTCCTTATGAATAACTTTAATGTAAAAATTCTTTTGTCATATAATCTCTCCGGGACATTGTTATTTTTCTTCTTAGGTCATTGCTAGAATCGTGGATGGAAGCAGATTCAACGAGTTCAAAGCCTTTTATGGAGACACATTAGTTACAGGTATAAAGGCAAAGAATTAAAAATATGAACTTTTTTTTTTAAGATTTTATTTTATTTTATTTAAAGATTTTATTTATTTATTTCATAGAGACACAGTGAGAGAGGGAACACAAGCAGAGGGAGTGGGAGAGGGAGAAGTAGGCTTTCCGCTGATCAGGGAACCCAATGCGGGGCTCGTTCCCAGGACCCTGGGATCATGACCTGAGCCGAAGGCAGACGCTTAATGACTGAGCCACCCAGGCGCCCCTTAAAGATTTTATTTTATTTTTATTATTTTTTAAAGATTTTATTTATTAGAGAGAGAGAATGAGAGACAGAGAGCACGAGAGGGAAGAGGGTCAGAGGGAGAAGCAGACCCCCCGCTGAGCAGGGAGCCCGATGTGGGACTTGATCCCGGGACTCCAGGATCATGACCTGAGCTGAAGGCAGTCACTTAACCAACTGAGCCACCCAGGTGCCCAAAGATTTTATTTTTAAGTAATCTCTGCACCTGATGTTGGGCTTGACCTCACCACCCTGAGATCAAGAGTCCTATGTTCTCCTGCCTGAGCCATTGAGGCATCCTTGAACATTTTCTATTGCTTTGAAAATAAGTGATCTCTTGTCTTAAGGTATTGATGTACTTGGTGTGAGCTTTGTTATTTAGAGTGGTACAAGTGTGTGGGTCTGTATTCAAAAGTAGTTGTTTTATGAAGGTCATGTGTAGCTGAATGGCTTCATAGGTCCTGAGTTTACGATGATGACAGCTAGGTGCTATTGGATAGGACCTTGTCTGAGACTTGGTGGTCTTCACTGTATAAAAAACTTCTTATTGGGGCACCTGGGTGGCTCAGTCAGTTCAGCATCCAATTCTTGATTTTGGCTCAGGTCATGATCTCAGGGTTGTGGGATCAAGCCCCACGTCAGGCTCTGCACTGGGCATGGAGCCTGCTTAAGATTCTCTCCCTCCCTCTCTATCTGCCCCTCACCCCACTTCTCTCTCCCTCTCTTAAAAAAAAAAAAAAGCTTCTTATCAAAACAAAGTTAGGAGAAATATTTGTAGTTCTTTTTGTTTCTCTGGATAATTTGTAATAATTTTGAAAATTTCAGCACTGTTTCCTTGGTTCTTTAGTCTTTAATTCTACTAGCAGGTTTTATATGATGTTGAGCTTCCTAGAAGGACGTTTAAGTAAGTTACACCTTCTCATAGCCTCTGTGTAGGTCTAACATCGAATCATGCAAACTACTAGATTGAGAATACAGGACAGAAAACCAAATCTGAAAAAAAACAAAATAAGGCTGTTTATAGAAGTTCATTCATTCATCTGAAATGTTGAGTTTGTAGGCTTTTGAAGAAAAGTATTTGAAACGTAGATGCTAGACCCATAATAATCTATCTTGCACAAATGACAGAAGTAATTCTGTGAATTTTATTTGGTCTTATGAAAGCTAGAAAATGTAGTAAGTGACCTGGAGACAACATATCAGAGTAAAAAAAGATATAACTCACTACAAAAATCCAAATTGCAAATATACATTGAGGCTTAAGGATAAATCACAACACTTTTCTCCTGGTTTGATTTATGAGCAACAAAAGGGTTCATAGTGGGAGTGGAATTTATGTTTTTGTATTGAGGTGTTTAAGTGATTAAGAGCTTTTTATTTGATATATATTCAGGATTTGTGACCAAGTAGTTCAGGATGTAACCTCTTGTGCAGCAGTTTGAAACAAGTCAGAGCTGTTTCTCCTTCTCTCCCCAAAGATAGATGGGCTGTCTTGGTCATCTGATTTTATGAATTTGCCCCTTAACTTGCTGAAAGACTTGTGGTACCTTTATCCCCTAGAATACTAAGGATGTATGTAGTTCCTCTATCTCTTCTTGGCTGTACCAGAATTCAAATAAGATTGGGGAAAGAGAAGGGGTGTGAGAAGAGGAAGAGGGGCGTGGGGAGTGGTGAGATGAGGAAGTATTGGTGGGGGAGGGAGAAGGACGGATTTTTCTGAGGATCAGGTGTCTCTGGCAGCTCTGAGGAGTTTCCTCCTGCCTCTGTACATGCCTTATATAGGCCCTAGTAGTTTCTTGGACATTTTGCTTTCCTGTTTGGCCCGAAGGAATTTGGTGACGACACTTCCTCTGTGTCCCTGCTATACTGGGGCGTGTGCCCTACTTAGCAGGTCCTGTGCCTGGAGACCCCAGGCCAGGCTAAGGTTGAAAGTCTGAATAGCTCATGGGGCGCTATACCTTAGGGGCAGCACTGCACTGCTGAGAGATGTGCAAGATTCCTAGCTGTTTTTGTGGGATGAGGCTGAACTCTGAGTGGATTGCTAGACCTCTGGGGACGGTTACCCCTCTGCATTGCCTCCGCAAGTGGCAGTGCCATTTAAGATGGAAAGCACAGGCTTTGGGCCGGGGTTTTAGGACTGAAAGGCCAAGAAAACCAAGACAAGGCCAGAGTAAAGAAAGAAAACAAATTCTTAACAGGTCAGTGTTCTGGTGTATCCGTAGGTGGACATTCTCTCTTATCCATTAATTTTTCAAGTACCTGCTTTGTGTCACATAACCAGAGACGTCTCAGCCACGGCCTGTGCGTCTTGAGCTTGAAGACAGCCTGGTTCTGGGTACTTTCTTTGACCCACTTCAACAAGCGCAGTTTGTTGACTCTTGGGTTCCAAGTCTTTGACACCTATTTAGAGTCTGAAGTAGGCTTGTTGAAGTTCACTCTTGGGAAGCTTTCTCTAGCCAAGTTTTTCAGGTTTACAAAAACCTCCTGAAGTCACCTCAGGTGTCTCCCTCACATACTGTTACCCTCCTTTTCCTTCCCCTTCCTTCTCCCTTACTGTGTGCATGGACAGGGGGTGTCTGCAGTAGGAGTGGGAATGGTGGTGAGAGTCCATCTTCTAAGCTTAGCTGTGTTTATTACTGGAAACCCACGACCCCCGGGCTTGACTGTGTTCTTGCTTTTGAAAGCAAGGCTGCCTTTGCTGAGTTTGTCCCCTTTACCTTGAGGGCCTGTCATTGCCACAGGCATTTTTAGGCAAGCTAGTCACCTGAAACCAGTGGAGAGCTCCAAACATGGGCCTTTAAAGGGTTCTCTCTCAGTGATTCTTTCCATTTCAGAAGATTCTCTGTCTAGTACCGAGTGGGCACTCAGACATACATTACACGAACAAATGGGTAACACCCTAACCCCATCATCTAACCAAACCAACCAGACGAGTGACAACTGTACACGGAGCACTCTCAGGGAAGCAAAACACCCAGACTCCAATACCTTAGAAATAAAACACTGTGACACGAGCTGTTCTGTACCCTGGACAAAATCTCTACATTTTAAACTTTGATTTGAAATTAAGGAATGTATAACTATGTCTGTTAGCTGTGACTTAAAAGCCCTCTGAAATACATAAATCTTTTTTCAATTTTCTTTTGAGGATTTGCTAGAATATTTGGATACCCTATAGGTATCGTTGGAAATAATGGAGTTCTCTTTTCTGAATCTGCAAAAAAGGCAAGTGGTGTTAAACATGTTTCAAAATTTTCTGTTTTAATGTAAACATAATTTGCTTTGAAGGTCAAGTAATGAATGAAAGTTTATTACATAAAAACTTTAAAATATTTAAAAGCTTTAAAATATTTAACCAGATGCCTTAGTAGGCAGAACACTGTACGTGCATGTGAACGTGTGTGTGTGTGTGTTAGTGCTTGAACAGTTTTTATGGAGGTTTACATTAACCTGTTTTATCTAGAGCACTATTTTTATTTTATTTTTATTTATTTTTTTAAGGTTTTATTTATTTATTTGTCAGAGAGAGAGCGTGAGCACAAGCAAGGGGAGCAGTAGGTAGAGGGAGAAGCAGGCTCCCCGCTGAGCAGGGGGCACAATGTGGGACTCGATCCCAGGACCCTGGGATCATGACCTGAGCCGAAGGCAGTCGCTTAACCAACTGAGCCACCCAGGCGCCCCAAAAATCCAATGTTTTAAAAAGTTCTTGTACATGAATTATAAATGCTGTGGATGACATGTACATAGCCTAAGACTCTGAGAATCCTTGTCTTGGGAGTGTTTATATTCTGTTTTCTTTTAAAGTGGAAAACTAAGGAATTATCATATGGCGGAGGCTCAGGAATTCCTGCTGACAAGCAGTTCTTCTCTTCGTTTCTTGAGTTTCACTTGCTGTTCAGAATGTTTGTGATTGACTTCACCCCTACAGCTGTGTGCCAGTGATCACACAGGCGACTGCAGAATGTGTGCGGTACCAGCACAGTCACACGTCCTGTTGGCCGTGGGTGCACACCGTGGTATTGTTACCAGCCAAGCACAGGGCGTTCTTTCTTACCGCTGACCTGAGTACGGTGTTTGCAGGATACAAGAGGGATGCAGATTTCTTAACCCCCTCTTTAAAAATATTATCTTTTTTGCTCTTAGGGGGCTCACTTCATCCAGATATGCTGCCAAAGGAATATTCCTCTGCTGTTCCTTCAAAACATTACTGGTAAGAAAATAGCTTAATCAGTCTTGTTGCATTATGCCAGAGCCTCATTGTCCAGTATGACTCCAGTATTAGACAGTGTAGACCTAGAACACTTCTGTCATAGCAAAAAGTTCTATTGGATACTCTGTGTAGAGTCTCTTTAAGGCTTAACCCTTCATGAATCAAATATATGAGAAGTTTATCCATATTTGGATAAAGCAGTTTCTGAGTTACCCGTATCACCGTCAGACGGCTTCCCTTTCCCCGTCCACACGCATTCCCTACCAGGAACACTCTGAGCTCACTCCGAGGGCATTGTCTGACCCATCATCTCTGAGCTAACACTTTGTTTTCCTTAAAGGACTTCATGCACATGCTATGGTTCACCCTTTGCCTCATCTTTTCTTGTGTAGGTAATTCTGCCTGAAGCGACATATTATAAAAGGTCTATGCACATCCTGAACAATAGCCTGGGGATTTGAGTTTAGATTCCAAAGAATGGTGTGATCAATATCACCTCTCTGGATTTCATGTTTCACAAATGATCTTAATAGGGTGGATGAAATGATTTGTAAGGTTTTATGGTTGTAGATTTCTTTTTCTTAGAATTCTAGGATTCTATTATTTATATTGTATGTTGCCCTTAGATATGTTGGTTAGCTGAAAGCGCGCCCCCCCCCCCCACCATCTTCTAAGTGATCCGTGGTTATCTCAGGGTCAAAGGAAGGAGGGCTCTTAATTAGTTGTTAGAATCAGGCAAGCCTTCACAAAAAAAAAAAAAAAGGAGCTTGGCTCATGGTGGTCAGCAGGGCTTTAAATAGTCCTGGTGCTAAAACATCTTTATCTGGTGCTGCTCTTAAGTTTATGATACTTGGTTAGATGAGTTTTGAGAGGCATTCTATCCACACAGAAGCCTGAGGGGGGTCCTACGTGGCAAACCTGGTAATAGGGCAAATAAAAAGGATTCTGAGACTTCACTAGTCCAGGGACCTTGTTTCTAATAATGGTTCATGGTTTCTTAACCACTAGTAAAGTAAACCTTCTTACTGGAAGATATTTTGTTTTTTTGGTATTTAGTTGGGTTGGGGGCAGAGAGCAGAGGTTGAGTTTGGTTTTGCAACCTTGCATTTGAGATACTTGGGTGACATTCATGGAGATAACATATATGCAGAGGGCAGTTGAATAAATCTTGAGCACAGAAGACATGTGTTAGCTGCAGGTGAAAATGTAGGCATCCTCAGAATATGTAGATGTTATGTAAAGCTGTGGGAAGAGATGAGAGCACCCCTAGAGAAGAGAAGAGGGCTCAGGGACAGTCTTTGAGTAACTCTGATTTCTTCCACAGAGATGAGAGTAGAGGAAGGAAGGGAGCATGGTGATGTTGTTTTTAATGCTGGGAAGGATTGGAGAAAGACAAGTGAGGCGGCATAATCTTTTTCAAGGCAAAAATCAATAGGGACTAGAGAGGCGGTGGGGTGCCGGGTGAGGGAGCAGAGCTTGAAGATGGCTGCTACGTGAGATGGCTACTGTGGAATGTTTCCGGGAGTTAAGACAAGGCAGAACGAGGCGCTGTGACCTATAGTGAGGGCCCTGCTCAGAGGGGTCCCAGGGAAGCCCATCGCGCCCGGCGAGGGTGAGGGCTGTCCTGTCAGTACCGCTGTAGCCGCAGCTTGTTCGGGCGTCTCCGAGGAACTGAGTGGAATCGGAGGACTCCATGGCTGGGGACTTGCAAAGCAAAAATAGTGGCAGTCAGGTGAGTGAGTGGATGGGTGGGCAGGGAGCCACATGAAGCCTGACTTGGGTTCTGTGACAGGAGGAGGAACGTGCCTGGAAGGCCCGGAAGGCCCAGAGTGACTGCAGAGCAGTTTCAGCAGAGCTGGGAGCTTGAGGCAGTCGAGGAATCCTGTAACTGTGGAAAATTCTTCTACCTTGCTATTGAGTCACTGGCAGGGGCTCTCAGCATCTAGGAAACATTCATCTTTATTTCCTCAGAGGTGTAAAGCAGCATTTCAGAAGGAGCAGTTTCTGTATTGAAGCAGGTCCGGGAGTACTGGAGGCCTCACAGTGGGGCTTGCCACAGCCCTTTTTCCTTAGCTTGCCGGGTCACGTTCTTTCATCACCAAGCCGCTGTTCTGAGAGAATTTCTTGAAGATAAGTTTCTTGCATCCTTATTTCGCTTGAAGATCTTTGTGTGCATCCAGATGAACCATTCTAAAGAAAATTTTAGAAATGATTAAAAAATTATATTTTTTACAGCACACTTTTTTGGGGAATATATTTCATGTATAAATATTTCATGTATAAATATTTCATTACAGTGAGAGGCCTTGTAGTAAAATAGAGTTGGTAAGATGTCCTTCAAATACCATGTTGGAATTGACTTCTGCACATAAATCCCATCATCCAGAGGCTTTTTTTCTTTCCTTTCTTGTAGGATTTATGGTTGGTAGAGAATATGAAGCTGAAGGAATTGCCAAGGATGGTGCCAAGATGGTGGCTGCTGTAGCCTGTGCCAAAGTGCCTAAGATAACTGTCATCATTGGGGGATCTTACGGGGCTGGAAACTATGGGATGTGTGGCAGAGCATATAGGTAGGTGGTTGTCGCGGTTTTCTCTGAAACAAAGAGTCACACTTCAAGTATAATTATAAATGGTCAGTTCGTTACGGGTTTATTTGAAACACAGAATGACATTCGCAGATCTTGGTCAGTGATACCATAATTTGTATCATCTGGAGGAGTGAAATGAAGTGTAAGGCTAAACGTGCTACTTGGAAGAAATCCACAATGGGAATTAGGAAATATTTTGAAATGGCTGATGATAAAAATACTACATATCATAACTTATGTGATGCAGCTAAAGTCTTGCTTTGAGGAACGTGTGTAGTAGACGTAAATATATATATATATTGGAAAAGAAGTAAGACCGAAAATCAATGAGCCAGCTCAGGAAGTTCACAGAACAGCATATTAAACACAAGAAAAATAGAAAACAGGACATTATAAAGATAGAAGAATCAGGGAAGCCCAGAGTTGTTTTTGTTTAAAAAAGGTTAACAAATTTGATAATCTCCTAGTAAAACTAAAAAATAAAGCAGAAAGCCTTATTTTATATCAGGAATGGAAAACAGGACATGACCACAGATAATAAGGGGATATTTTGAATGTTTTTATGCCCAGTAAATTGAGATGAGATGAAAAATAAAATTGATCAGAACAGACATCACAATCATCTGGAGAACTTAGAAATCCTACTCCATTCAGGCCACACCTCTGGAGATTAGCCTGGGGTGCGTTCCGAGCCTGGTTTTCCCCTTTGTAATGCACAGCTAGAATGAAGAACCACTAATTTAGAAGGTAAACAGGCCTGTGAAGATTGCTGTGTTGTACGGTGAATTAACTTCATCATTTTTTCTTTTTTCTCTCCGCACAGCCCAAGATTCCTCTACCTATGGCCAAATGCTCGCATCTCAGTGATGGGAGGAGAGCAGGCAGCCAATGTGTTGGCCACAGTAGCAAAGGACCAAAGAGCACGTGAAGGGAAACAAGTAAATGCCATTTCTTCTGCCTCTCTGGGTTTGGCTTTTATCACTGAACACTCTGGAGGCAGGGAGCAGCGTGCCCAGAACCTCTCAGTGTTCATGGGTCAGGGTCTCACCCCAGGGCCTGGCTTCATTTAGAAGATGCTGACTTTAAGAAATATCGACTTACATATGCTCTGTCTCTCTTCTTAGAGCCACTTTATTTGAGGTCCCTTCTTGTAATTTTTCTGAATCTCCAAGAAAACTCTTTAGAAACTGTGCCTGTGAGTGCCTGAGGCATAAAGATGTTTGGCTCTTAGTCATTTGCTATTAGTGAGATTTAAAGAAATGTGATTTACTTCTTTGATTTTATAACTGAAAGCAGCAGAATTTTGTTTTTTCAGTTTCTGTCTTAGATTGTCTTTGAGTGGGAGGGCGCAGTCATCTAATTGAGAAATGAGTAACATTATCCTGTGCATGGATAAATGAAGGAAAATGGAGAGGTCACTGGCAGCTTGATGAAAGGCAAATCAGCAAGGGGCTGCTTTTAGTTTTGCTGCATGTTAATAGGAGGTACTTTAAGGGATTGTTATTATTTAGGTCTCATCAGCAACATCAAACAAAAGGTACTGAGGACTCCACAGGGTACAGTGTGCTCCCGAGCACCTTAGAAAATTTACATGACTCAGAGAAAATGTGGTTCTTGCCCCTTGAGCTGACATTCTGGGGGCTGACAACACACAGTCTAAGGGTTGAGTGAACAACAAGGTAATTTATTAAGGCAGGTTCTTCACTGCAGGTTTTTAAAGTGGATTCTTTTGTTTGTGTCTCAGAGATTCTTTTGAAGTTTTGCATTAATTTTTTTTTTTGAGAGAGCACCCACGTGCATGAGTGGGTGGTGGGGAGCAGCGCAGTGGTGGTGATGGGGCAGAGGGAGAGAGAATCTCAGTAGGTTCCATGCTGAGTATGGAGTCCGATTCAGGGCTCGATTCTATGACCCTGAGATCATGACCTGAGCCGAAATCAGGAGTGGGAGGCTTAACTGACTGAGCCACCCAGATGCCCCTTCACTAATTTTTGTTAGTTAGAACTTACAGCTATTTTGTGTAAGCACCAAGCCTTCAAATGATTGATGCATGTTCTTGGAATTGTTCAAGTGTGCTGTTTTATCATAACAGGGCATAACGTGGAGGAGGCCTTGCCTTGAAGGTTCTCATTCCTGCTATTTAGGGGTCATCTGGTCAACTGTCTAGTGGTGGGATGGGGATAAGATAAGCATGGAGGGTGGGCCCTAGCTCCCTGAATGCATCCCAAACATGCCCCACGTCCTCAGTTGTCTTTTCTAAGCAGCAGGAACTCTGCACACTTAAAATTAGGTTTCATATTCACTTCAGTACTGATTAGTATCGAAGCAAAATGAAAGGTTTATTTGTGTGTGTGTGTGTGTGTGTGTGTGTGATGGTGGGGGTATAAAGTCCATCTGATACATATTTTTTTAAAGATTTTATTTATTTAGAGAGGGAGGGAGTGGGTGTCGGGAGGGGCAGAGGGAGAGAATCCTCAAGCAGACTCCACGCTGAGCATGGGGCCCACGTGGAGCTTAATCTCACAACCCTGAGACCAGGACCTGAGTCAAAATCAAGAATCAGATGCTTAAGCAGCTGAGCCACCCAGGCGCCCCTCTACGTGATATTTTGAAGACTTATCTTAAACCGTAGCTCAGTAGTCTCTTATTAGATAGTTGTTGTTTGATAATTTGACATACAAATCTATAGATCTATCTCTTTTTATATATGAAAGGAAAGTACAGGATTTTAGTGGTTCTCCCTCCAAATTCTTGACATAAAATTATATTAAACTATGAATGTACATAAAAGAAGGTTGGATTTATTTATCATTTATCATTTGTTTTTGGTGTGAAATACTTTTTAAGTTGAAAATATTTTTTAGGGTTTCAAAATTAGTTTGCATAAAGATTTTTACAACTGAATCAATTATCACTTGTTTCTGGCAATACGGGTGGGCAAGCCACTAAATTTTTAATTAGGGAAAAATCTCTCTCAGCTGTTTGAACTTATTCAAGTTGTGGTTGTTGTTTTACCCCTTTAAGCTTTAAAATTTTTTGAATTTGGCCCTTTTGAATGAAAATTCCCTACTTGTCCACTTTCAACAGAAGCTGCTAAATGTAAGGTTGCCCTCTAACTACACTGTATAAGTCACATCCACTGTTGGAGCCTGCTAGAATATGTGATACCCTTGGTTCTGAAATTTACACTAAACAGCTTCAGGATGTTGTCTCTGATAAGGGAGATGTAATGATGCACTGATGGCACTCAGGTCTCAGGTGAGATCTTGTGTGTGAAAGCGTCACTTGTAATCTCTATATATCGCTGTGCAGATGTTGGTTGTAAAATCATTACTCGTGAAATGCTTGCCCCTTTTTTCTTGAGGTTCTCTTGAGTGGATCTGTTCTCTTATTGCAGTGGACTGACTCGTGGGCCTTTTTCTTTCAGTTCTCCAGTGCTGATGAAGCAGCCTTAAAAGAGCCCATCATTAAGAGGTTTGAAGAGGAAGGAGACCCTTACTACTCCAGTGCAAGGTGGGAGCCAAGGAATAACCACCTCCCTGATGGGTGCATCTGGGCTGTCAGGGCGGCAGCTTTCCAGAGATCTGGACAGTTGGGTTGGTCCAGCCTTCATGGGAACCACAAAGGAACGTTTGGACGCACTTAATTTCGTATTGTTCCGTCTATAATGGGAATGTCTGCTGAAACACCACCCCCTTCTCCCAGGCTGGGCTGTGTACCCACCACCATTGGTCTGATTCTGCAACCCTCCCTCCTCCTTCCTTGTCCCACTTACAGGTGAGGTGTCTGGGCCTACAGGGGCTGAAAAGTTTAAGAGTTAAGAGTTATCCTGGCTGTGTTTTTTTTAGGAATTCGTTCTTTTATAATGTTTTTCTTCAACATGGGGATTCCTGCCCTATCACTCTTTGATTCTTTCGTGTTTACCCATTTTACTCACGAGATTGGCTGGACACTGGTGGGCACTTCCTAACAAGCGTGCTTGTGCATTCAGAAAGTGATTGCTCACAGCCAGGGTCTGGGTGTCAACACCAAGTAATCACCCCACATGCCATTGCAGCTCTTGGTTCTGTTTGTTTCTTACACCACTTAATGAGGTAATAAATTATCATGGCCTGCCCGGGCTGGAGGCTGGCTGGTGTGTGTGCATTAAGATCTCTGTTTTCAGCAACTTTAATGTCCTTCATTCGGAAGAATAATCTAAGCTTCCTATCTTCATCTTATCCCTTGGGCAGATGGAATAAAGAAAATAGCTATTTGTGTCTTTCAAAATTAGGTTATGCTGTGATTTATGTCATTTACTGGTGAAGGTAAGCTGGAGAGGAAGGAGAAAAGAAAATAAATTAGAATTCATTCAGTCATCTGAACACAACTTTTGTGGCAGGCGCTGTTCCTAGCACTGGGGGTACAAGGGCTGAACAGACTTATTTTCAAGAGCATATTTAATTTCAGAATGAAAATAACACCATTTGGCATCTTTAAAAGGCCCATTTCTCTTCTTGTTCATACGTATTTTCGCCAGCAAATTCGCAGGTATATTTCGTTGTGAGTCATTGATTCATTTAGTAAGACCAACGTATTTTATAGTCTTTGAGACCTAAATATGTTCTTGTTTACCATCACTTAAACAGACTTCTATAGTAGCCAGTAAAAGCAAAGAGGAAATAAAAAACCCTAAAAAAAAGGCTCAAGAGAAGATAATAAATTGTAAGCTCCCCTACAGCTTTTTGTTTCTCCGTAAGATTTTGAGTGAAATTCACAAGGACAGGTGAAATTAAACTTTGAAAAATAGTGTATCTTGTGTGAGCCATGAATAAGTTTTCCAGCCCTGGCTAAGTCATCTTTTGAGAAAGGCTGAATCCCTTATTATTTTCATGCTTACATTAGTAGTATTATTTTAATGGACTGTACTCAAGGCAGGAGAGCAAATGGCCCAGATAGATTTATCTTTGGAAATAAATATTGTAAGACACCAAGGTTTTTCTGTTAATCTGAGAATGCTTAACCCTCCTGATGAAACACTTGGTGGCAGGGGGACAGCAATTTTCTTTGAAAGATGAAAGGGTTTTCAAGCCAATTTATGGTCCCTTCCTCAGGTTTAGTAAATCTCAGCTTAACAGTAAACTTCTGTGGTCTGTTTCGGCTCTGCCACGGTTGGACCTGTCTTTTCAGAGAGCTCTTTCATTATTCGCTGCTGTAACCTGTGTTTCTCCTAATCCATCTTAGAGGTGCAGCCTGCCTGTTTTCTTCTGCTCACTTCTTTTTACAATCAGAACTTTTTCAGGCATTTGATCAGGGCCTCTTACCTGGAATGGTCATTTTCATGACCATCACAAAGGGGCTCTGGCTTTGCCGTGCTCGCTGGATACAGCTCGCTGCTGTAGGCTTCAGAAGGGAGTGTAATCAATTGACCTGGTTGTGCGTGACAAGAGTGGCCTTTCCTTATTGGCTGTTGATACGTCAGGGTCCCTGTTATGAATGTTTTATGAGCAAAGATTTGATTCATGGCCTGTTGATGTAAGTATGGTTTAATAATTGATGCTATTGTCCAGATACCGAAGGCAGTTTGTTTGAAGAAAGCCAAACTGCCACCTGCTAATGACCTTTAAAAAACAGTATTTCTCATTCGTTTTTCTTTATAAAATTGAGGTTGTCAGTGAAAAGCAAACACATTCCTACTTCAGAGTTTCTTTTGTAGGCAGCTTAAAGCAATTACTTACTTTCCTATTTTAGCAAAAAATAAAGAGCTTATATTGAAGGTATTTTATTAACCAAATGTAGTGAAGTGTCTTCTGTAATTGTCATCGTTTCTTGAAAGTTTGGGAGTTTGGGGGAATACACCTTTTCCGGTAGAGACTTTGGTTTGAGATTATTACCTGGGTTCATGGGCCTCTCTCCATATTAATAACAGGGACACATCAACTTGTACATTTGGATGTGGGCAGAAGAGGAACAGGAAACATTTTCCTGAAATACATAAAAATATGTTGAAATCAAGGATTATTCTGAGGTTTCTTGAAGCAGTTCCCAAAGCCATAAGCTCACTCTGACATTCTGTGAGGGCCTGGGATGAAAGTCCTGTCGTTTTTCTTTCTCTCTTTTCCCCTCCTTTGAATGTGGTTTTGGTTGTGAGAATGTAGCGTGCAGAAGCTCATCAGTCAGTCCCTCTAGGACCTGAGGAAAAACCTCAGCGTTTCTGGACATAAATTGTGTAAATGGTTGTTTGGTGATGGAATCCTAATAACTGATGTTTTGTTCTTTTATCAGGCTGTGGGATGATGGGATTATTGATCCAGTGGACACCAGACTGGTGCTGGGTCTCAGTCTTAGTGCGGCCCTCAACGCACCAATCCAGAAGACTGACTTTGGCATCTTCAGGATGTAACTGGAATATAAGGCGTCTTCCATGGGACATGTACCAAAAATTAATGTACTGGTAGCCTTAAAATTTTAGGCTTTTCCAACATGTGGCTATTACACTAAAATCCTCAACACAGTGCATTGTACTTTTCTACCTTAAAAAAAAAAATCAGTGAAGATATTTATTTGATGAACTTCAATTCCTTGTCCATCTTCTTAGAGAAATTTTTCTGTGGCTCCACTTTACCGCCCATAAAATGAAGAGAATAACTTACAGTTAGCCTTTCTAACCCACGTGTAGTATGAAAAGTTCCATAACCTATAAATCCCAGGTATGATTGAGATTATTCACAGAAGGTTGTTTTTCCACCGAAATGATTGCTTTGCTGATTATACACGATGCTATTTTAACACACATAATTTTGAAAAGCATCTGTTAACTTTGCCTTTCAGCCACCACCCTGCTCCTTCCTGTAACAGTCAGACTTGTTGCTGTCTGCACTTGGGGCTCTGTTTCCTCCCCATTCTCTCTTCATCCTACTCATCGCCTTCCACTGCCAACAGCCCTCTCCAAGGTTGGCCTCCATGTTGCTGAAGCCAGTGGGTTCTTTCTCGATGTTGCGAGACTGAATTTCCTGCGGCATTAAGAGCAGTCAGACACTTGTTCCTAGCAGTGCTATCCTTAGCTTCCAGACTGTAACTCTAGGTTTTCCACCAACCTCTTTGGCCCCTCTTGTTCCGTCTCCTTTGTCAGGCTCTGTTCCTCTACGCATTTCTCTCCCACTTCCTTCACCATTTGTTCTGATTTCTCATTAGTAAAACATGAATAGATTCTGATTCTGAAAGATACAAAAGTAATATGGAGGTGTCTCCTCATTCTTTTTGAAAAACTGTGGTAAAATATATATAACATAAAATGTACCATTTTAACCATTTTTAGCTGCACAGTTCTGCGGCATGAAGTCCATTCACACGGTCGTGCAACCATGGCCACCACCCAGCTCCAGAACTTTTCATCATTCCAAACTGAAACTCTGTTATGAATAGCCGCTTCCCATTCCCTCTCCCCCAGCCCCTGGCCCTCTCCTCATTCTTAAGTGTAGGCGTTTCTCATGGTTTGGTTTCTTCCCGCTGGGTCATTTCAGGCCTTATGGCTTCGGTGGCCATCTGAATGTGGATGATTCCTGTGTCGAGGCTGTTCTCCCTGAGCTCCAGACCCGTGTATCTAACGGGTCTACTGGACGTCTGCACGGATGGGATTATGGGAACCTCGGACTGAGTCATCAAGGGCTGTTGACTTTCCCTCCTGCCCTTTGGATTCCCCATTATTTCCATCTTTCACCCCCACGGGCTTTACGAGTGGTCTCCCTGCATCCAGTTGTAGCTAGTACTGCTTCCCCATCACGGTGAGATGAAGGTGGCCGTTCTAAGTGTGCATCTGGTCATGCTGCTCCTTTGCTGCCCCGTCTCACTGGTTCCCTGTCGAAGTGCCAGACCCCTCATGCTCTCCAGGACTGTGATCATCACATCCCCTCTTCTGCCTCATCTCCTTGACTCTTCCTCACGCTCGGTGCTCCAGCTGTTACAGATTTCTTGTTCCTTGAGCCTGTAGAGGCCTTCCCACCTTAGGGTCCACCACCCAAGGTTCCCTCTGCCTGTACCATCCTACCTTCCCTTAAACACTGACCTTTTTGTCTCTGTGACTTCCCTGGGCTGGGCTAGACACTAGGTGCTCTCGTAAAGCCCAGCCACTTTCTTCTCTGTCTTATGTATTTATGAGAAACCTAAACATTTCTTTAATATTGCCCTCCTGCTAGAATGTAAGCTCTCTGAGAGCAAGGATGTCCTGTTTAGCCTGTAGCCGCAGGCCCTAGCACTTGTAGGTGCTTACGTATTTGTTGAGTGAATGAGAAATCCATATTTTAATTGATGTCTTCAGACCACATTTCAATTAAGTGGCTGATTATGTGATCTAATACAACTAACCAGTGCTTTCCTAATAAAATTAATATTTCAAACTTTGTATGTCATTTTCAATTTAGGCAGCATTTGGGGCACCTGGGTGGCTCAGTCGTTAAGCGTCTGCCTTCGGCTCAGGTCATGGTCCCAGGGTCCTGGGATCGAGCCCCACATCGGGCTTCCTGCTCCGTGGGAAGCCTGCTTCTCCCTCTCCCACTCCCCCTGCTTGTGTTCCCTCTCTCGCCGTGTGTCTCTCTGTCAAATAAATAAATAAAATCTTAAAAAAAAAATTTAGGCAGCATTTGTGTATCAGAAATCAGTTTAATTTTTTGAGATGTGTACAGATAAATGCTCACAGCTCAGAGGTGGGCTGCATTTTCGGAAGGATGTGGGACCAGGTCACTGAGAGCACATCCCCTCCCCTGTCCTTGGAAGGTTCCCCCACACACTGTTGCTGTAGGGGGAGCCATTTCAAGAACATAGCCTTGAGAGAGGAAGGTGTTGAGACCGTCTGAACCCAGTTAAGGCTTCTTTATAAACAAGATTCTGGGCCATGGGTGTGGAGATGATCTCGTGTTGTGGCGGATGCAGACCTCGCTCAGAAGTGCATTCCTTCGCTCACCAACGTGGAGTGGCCGTCTCTCTCCCGTCCCTCCCTTGGCCTCCCTGTTCTGGGGCCAGTTTTCGAACCAACAAAGGGGACATGGTAAGCATTTTAAATGAGTAAATTATATTAAAGTTTCAGTTAAAATTTACATCCATGTCAGAAAACAAAAATTAAAAAAAAATCAAGTGTAGGTAATATTGCTTTGCTATGAATCATCAAGTCAAAGGTTGATGAATTTTTTAGGACTGTTTTTACCTCTCTAAAGAAATTGTTCTCTCTAAAAAGATCACCATCATCACGAGCACCACACTTAAAATAGTTAAATTGTTACATACTTAAGCCAATAAAAAAAAACTTTTATCAAAACGGGCAGCATTTTTTGTCTGCCCCCTCCTAGGTTTACTGACATATCACATGGAAGTTGAAGGTGTACAGTGTGATTTGATACATGTATATTTTGAAATGGTTACCACAGTGTGGTTACTTAACACATTCACCTCGCAGAACTTTTTGTTTGGTAGGGAGAATATTTCTTTTTCCTACATCTCAGTTCTTATAAATGAGAATTGCAGCCAGGATAATAGGAGTAACTTAGAATCTTAAGTATGCAGCAAATTAATCTAAATTAGCCACTCTGGGTACTTCGAGAATAAAAGAGACAAAACTAATTGTATTTTTCAGTTTTCAAGAAAATAATTCAATTTAGAATTTGTTGAAATACTTTCTTTACACTACCAGAAGGCATTGTTGAATGTGCAAGTAAAAAAATTATTTGCCAGATGTGCATGTTTGTGCATAAGGCACAACTAGAGAGGCTGGTATAACCTTTCCAAGGGTAGGTAACGGCAGGTTTTTCCATGATTTAATAAGACTTTTTTGGGAAGAGGCCACATGTCCTTGTTGGTTCTGAAATGTGTTCGTTGGTGTCCTGGAATGATGATTGTTGATTATTCTGGCCAAAGCCAATTTCTTACAAATCTTAATTACTAGTTCTGAAATTCAGTATTTAGAAAAACTGCAAGAGAATGAACTAGATAATCATGGTCTCTGGTTATTTATAACATTTCTTTGCAAATGTTAGAAATTACAATCAGTATCTAATAATGCCAGGTTTTTATTGTTTTAACAGAAAGTACCACCAAACACTTAAAAATACATTTTGAAAAAAATTTAATGTGCCTCAAATTCTCTCGTTATATAGAATCAGAATGCTAAGGATAAAGTTGCTTTTTGAGCTAAATGAAATTTCTATCTACTTTTGACCTTTTCTAGGCAAATGTACATTCCAGGTGGGGTTTGTAATCAAGCTAACTGATGATCCACTCTGGGATACTTGGGTGGGAACAGGCCCTGCTGTGAATTACGCTGGGGAACAGGTGAGAGCAGATTGGGACCTCCGCTCTCTCTCTAGTTGATTATCATGGAGGACCGATGGATGTCAGGTTTTGATACCTCTTAAAAGCCACTCTTCCAGATACCTGCTTTGTAACGTTTTCGTGACTTAAAATAAACAAAACAAAACAAAAAAACCAATACAAGTTTATTCTGTTCTAGTTGTGGAGGCCAGAAGTCTAGAATCAAGATACTGGCAGGGCTGTGTTCACTCTGGAGACTTTGAAGGGAAAATCCGTTCCCTTGTCTTTTTCAGCTTCTAGAGGTCGCCTGCCTGCTTTGTAACTTTGTGAATTTCAGCATTATATCAAACACATGATATGTGTTAGCATTCTAGAGAGCCATCTAATCGGCTCAGGAGGAGAGTTTACCACAAGGCAGGGGCAATTTTATTTTCTGTAGCACCCAGCATGTCAGTGTGTCTTGCTGCTTTTCCTTTTACAACGGTGACCCAAATCACAGGTTTATGCTACTCCTTAGGTTAAGAGAGAGAAGGGTTGGGGCACCTGGGTGGCTCAGTTGATTAAGCTTCCCACTCTTGATTTCATCCCAAGTCATGATCTCAGGGTCTTCAAATCGAGGCCTGCACGGAGCCTGCTTAAGATTCTCTCTCAATAAACAAATGATAAGTAATAGATAAAATCTTTAAAAATTGAGGGAGAACAAAGTCTTAGAAGGTTGTGATCTAACAGAACTGACTGAAGAGAGAACATGACCAGCACTACTTGTTAGAAGTAAGGTGGAGAAATAAATTTAATGTGTAATTCAGCAAGTTTTAATTATGAGTGAAAAGTTACAGTGTTGGAATGCTAGGGCTACTTTCAAGAGGTTTCTGTAGGAAATGTACATTTTTCAATAGCTTTATCGTACTCCTATGTTGTAAGATAATTAAAAATGACATTTGTTTTAAAATTATAACTTAAAATCCAACAGTGTTTTTTTGAGAAAACTTGGAGTAAAGAAAGTGAAAATTCTCCATAATTTCACCACCCAGAGATAGCTGTTACTATTACCAGTTTCATCTATCGACTGTACTATTCTTTTCTCTATTGTGGGATTTTTTTTTTCCCCCACAAAAAAAGTTACTCTATTACCTTCATTTTCACTTAATGTGTAAATGTCTTGGCATGTTTCCATGTCATGTGCTACTTTATTTACAACAATTGTGATGTTGCACAATACTACGTTGTATGGCCGTCCTATTTGATTTAACCACTCCCCTATTTT